AGACAATTTTTCCATGGACAGAGGTGGCGGATGGTTTCGGGATGAAACTGTTCCACCTCAGATCATCAGGCATTAGATTCTCGTAAGGAGCTTGCAGCCTAGATCCCTCACATGTGCAGTTCACAATAGGGTTTGCACGTCTATAAGAATCGAATGCTGCCACTGAGCTGACAGGAGCTCAGGTGGCAGTGCTCACTTGCCTGCCGCTTACCTCCTGCTGCGCGGTCTGGCTACTAAGAGGCCATGCACTGGTACCTGTCTGTGGCCTGCGGCTTAGAGACCCCTGCTCCACAGCATATTGTATCTCTCTCCTGGCTTTGATCATGACCTGTGCGCTTGTATTGCATGTGAAGGCAAGGACTTTATTTATAGTCTTGGTGCCTAGTATGAAGGCTGGCACCAGTAAATAATAGTAAATAAGTGAGAGAGCAGAGAACAAAAAGGCAAGGAAATAGGAACATATATGACAAGAAAGGAGAAAACAGGACAGGCATGTAAAGGTAAAGGAAGTGGAGGAAGCAGGATAGAAGAGCTGTGGATAGAGTGAGTTAGAGGAAGCATCAATGATTCAGAATGAGCTGAACTGCTTGCTTTGTCAGCTTCTTGGGCTGTTGATCCATTTCTAGGATTTTATTTTATTTTATTATTTGAGATGGAGTTTCACTCTTGTCACCCAGACTGGAGTGCAATGGAGCCATCTCGGCTCACTGCAACCTCTGCTTCCTGGGTTCAAGCGATTCTCCTGCCTCAGCCTCTCCAGTGAATAGCTGGGATTACAGTTGCGCACCACCATGCCCAGCTAATTTTTGTATTTTTAGTAGAGATGGGGTTTCGTCCTGTTGGCCAGGCTGGTCTGGAACTCCTCACCTCAGGTGATCCACCCGCCTTGGTCTCCCAAAGTGCTGGGATTATAGGCATGAGCCACTGCACCCGGCCCATTTCTAGTATTTTTAAAGCAGTCATTTCTGCATCAAGAAAAAGTCCTTATGTTTTTATTTTGCATCCCTAATGGCTGCATTTTCCCTGTGGAAGCCCTTGCATTGAAAGAAGGTTTAGGGCCGGGCGCGGTGGCTCAAGCCTGTAATCCCAGCACTTTGGGAGGCTGAGACGGGCGGATCACGAGGTCAGGAGATCGAGACCATCCTGGCTAACCCGGTGAAACCCCATCTCTACCAAAAAATACAAAAAACTAGCCGGGCGAGGTGGCGTGTGCCTGTAGTCCCAGCTACTCGGGAGGCTGAGGCAGGAGAATGGCGTAAACCCGGGAGGCGGAGCTTGCAGTGAGCTGAGATCCGGCCACTGCACTACAGCCTGGGCGACAAAGCGAGACTCCGTCTCAAAAAAAAAAAAAAAAAAAAAGAAAGAAGGTTTAGGTTCTAGAAATTTTCTTTGTACCCTTAGAAGGAGTGATCAATTTCTTTTACTACTAAAATCTCTCCAATTGCTATACCTTTGAAATGAAGGCTGCCTTACTTTACAGTGCACAAAGATTACATTACAAATGAGGCTGTAGAGGCAGACTCTGGAATTCTTTTCTTGCAATGCAATTATTTATTTTTCCTGGAGGAGGTGGTTCACTGCACATTATTTTGAATAAACTGAAGGGTTGAAAATATCGGTGCTGGGAGGGTGAGATGAATTGATTCTGAAATGGCCAGAAGTCACTTGAGGACAAACTCAGGAAATGTAGCAGGTGAGAAGAGGTAGATTTCCTCATGTGGCTCAAAGGCCTTGCAAAGAGGGGCTGCAAAAATCCCTTGAGCTGAAGCAGCCTCACTGGAATAAGCCTAAGCTCTTCCAAGGGGACTGCTGGGAAGGGAGTCCATCATTTGGATATACTTGTTTTATTTAAGGTGTTAAAAATTGGTTTCTTTATATTTCATGTGAAAAAGATCCAGGGAAAACTGCCTCAGTGGATTTATGAAGTCTTTTTTTTTTTTTTTTTTTTTGAGACGGAGTCTCTCTGTTGCCCAGGCTGGAGTGCAGTGGCATGATCTCGGCTCACTGCAACCTCTGCCTCCTGGGTTCAAGTGATTCTTCTTCCTCAGCCTCCTGAGTAGCTGGGACTACAGGCATGCACCACCAGGCCCAGCTAATTTTTGTGTTTTTAGTAGAGACGGGGTTTCACCATATTGGCCAGGCTGGTCTCCAACTCCTGACTTCATGATCCGCCCACCTCGGCCTCCCAAAGTGCTGGGATTACAGGCATGAGGCACCGCGCCCAGCCTTATGGTTTCTCTGGGGACAGGGAAAGGATGGATTTCTCATCTTGTCTCCAGGTCACTTCATCTTCTAGGGCTAGCCAAAGTAAAACAAGAGGTCAGGTCTAGTTGGGGTGGCGTGGGTTGGAACGGTGGTCCAGGGAGTCACATGCCTGGAGACTGGGCTATTGCCGCTTCCACCATTCCCTTCTCCTCATTGTCCCTGAGTTGTCTGGTGGTATATTAAGCATCTAACCCAGTGCCTGGCACAGAGCAAGTGATCAATACATATTAATTAACTTGACTTGAGCGATGATTTATGGTGTGGAGGAAACAGCATGATACCGAGGACAGGAGAATTATAACTTAAATTGGCTGGCGGAAGGAACAAGAACAGGTCTCCTCACTTCTTTGAGAATCAGTTTCCTGATAGCCAAGATAGGGTTTTGGCACTGGGTGATTGTGAGACCTGGAAGAGCTTGTGCTTCTCGTCGTGGTGATTCTGTAGAAGGCACTGACCATGCTGAGGCAGAGGTAGCTTGCTGGTGGTCAGAGTCCAGGGACAGAAGCTACCCTGTTGGCAGTGGGGACTAGTGAGTGTTTGCTGCCCCTTCAGTGATACGGCCTGTTCTTTGGGCTGATATCTGAGCAGGATGGCTGGGGCAGGGCTGGTGGCCCGGGAGACAGGAGCACTAACAACCCCCAACTCTGCTGTACCCCTTTCCCTTTCCTGATGCAGATGACTCACCTGGAAGGAGATCATGAGACACACAAGGCCACAGCATGTCTCAGACATGTTCTCTGTGCCAGCTTCAAGGGACCCAGAGATGCCTCGGGCAAGGTCCCTGATGATTAGCAGCTGACTCCAAGCCATAGGGCAGGGCTGCTGGCACCGGTGTTTCCAGGCACAAGTGAATGTGCATCATGGCCAGTGTGTTTTTGAAGCTTTAGAGAAGGCAGAGGGGAGGAAGTAGATCATGGGGGCAGGGACGAGTTATTGACAGAGTAGCAAGGATCTGGCATCACAGCACAAACAAATAACCTGGGCGTGGGAGGGAGGAAGGGAGGCCGGGAAAGGACGGTCTCCGTGTCATGGCAGGGCCAGGCTTTGGGGCACTGGCAGGTTGAACAAGGAAGCCTGAAGGTTGCCACTGACTCTGTGTGATCTTGAGCAGGTCCCTTAACCACTCTGGGCCTCAGTTTCCCCGTTCATAAAGGGAAGGTGTTGGGTTAGATCAGAGACCTTTCAAAGTGGGGGTGAGGAGAAGCATTGAAGGCAGATTCTGGGCCTCCTTTGACCCTCCCTCTTCTGCACTGCACGGCTTCTCCCCCAACCTGTTTTATATATTGTGTTTCTTTGTAAATAATGTGGTTTTTTGTTGTTGTTGTTTTCTGTTTGTTTTGTTATGGGTTTTTCTTTTTTTGGTTAAAGCTACCAGTCTAAAGACCTTTAAGGTCCCTTTTGATCTAAACAGCATAGTGTAGCAGCTCTGGGACTGGGCAGTGGCAGCTCACCTGTGTGATCTGGAAGGGGCTATTGCTAACCTGGCTCTAGGGCCACTGTAGCTCTCTCTCCTTCTCTCCAGAGCACGGGAAAGGGGGTAGGAGTGGGGTTGGGACTAGGGGATGGGGAAGTGGGTGCAGATTTCTTAGAGAAACATAGGCCTAAACGCTCCCTCACAAACCTGTTTGGTAAAAACTTGGGCACCATGAGGCCCTTTCAGACCCCAGAATGTGTCCTTACTTGAGGCAGGGAACCTGCCCTGGTCTGAGACTTCTTCCTGCAAGTACTTCCTCTGAGGCACCAAAACCTGGGGCGTGGATTCTATGGGGCCCAGTAAAATACACCTGCATGACCTATGTGGCATAAGGGCTTGTTCTGGCTCCGACACTGAGTAGGTACCAGCTTTGAGCCTCAGTTTCCTCATCCGTAAAGTGGTAATAAGAATATCCATGCTTTTTGTGGGTAAAAATAAGTGAAGTGCTGGCATACGATAAAGACTTATCCAATGCCTATTCCATCTGCCCCAACACCTATGCCTCCTCCTTCTTAGCTTTGCTTTGTTTATTCATGACCGTGCATGTCCACAATGTGCTCCTTCTACAGAATGCCAGGTGTGGCAGAACAGGTGCCATGATAGCAAATAAGGGAAAGAACAAAGAATAAGAAGAACGGACTTCTTCTAAATGCACGTTAGTATGAACATAGAGTCATTTATTCATCTTAGATGTGCAGAGGGCCCCCTGTGTGCCACACTGAGCTCATTAGGAGGGGCCGGCCCTTCACACTGGAATAGTGTGTGAATTTCTCTATTCCAGTCCCAGTTGAGAAGCCAATTTATTTGAGAACTCATGGACTGAAGAGAAAGTGCTCATTCATACAAGGCACGTTCCACGGATGTCACACTCTCCTGGATTGCCCTTGGTCTGTAGGAAATGGTGGAATGCATTCTAACTGCCTAAGAGTGATCATTAGAAAAGCATGATGTGGCAGAAGGGGTCCAAGCTTTACCTGCTAAGAATTGTATGAATTTGAGAAAGTCACTTCTTCTTTTCTTTCTTCTTCTTCTTTTTTTTTTTTTTGAGATGGAGTCTTGCTCTGTCACCCAGGCTGTGGAGCTCAGTGGCACAATCTTGGCTCCCTTCAACCTTCATCTTTTGGGTTCAAGTGATTCTCTTGCCTCAGCCTCCCGAGTAGATGGGATTACAGTTGCGTGCCACCACGCTTGGCTAATTCTTGTATTTTTAGTAGAGACAGGGTTTCACCATGTTGGCCAGGCTGATCTCAAACTCCCGACCTCAGGTGATCCACCACCTCGGCTTCTCAAAGTGCTGGGATTACAGGCGTGAGCCGCTGCACCTGGCTGGAAAGTCACTGCTTATCTCTGAGCCCAAAGACAAATTTTCTTGTATGTAAAACAGGATCATAATACCTACATCCTGGGTGGCTGTGGGAATAAAATGAGATCAGGCAAGGATCTGCTTCTGGGCAAGTGCTCAGAAAATGACAGCCGTTATGATTTTTGAGCATAGCAGAGGACAGAGGGTCATGTTCAACAGTTGCCAGTGTGGGCGATGTGGTCTGTCCTCAGTGGGGTCCTGCCCTCAGGAGTCACTAGCTGAGATCCTTCGCCCAATGAGAAGGGCTCGGACTGCCCCTGTACATCGCGATTCTGGAGACTGTAGATGACAGGGTTCAGCATGGGGGTGACTACAGTGTACATGACAGTGGCCACACGGCCCTGCTCTGCCTCATATCGGGCTGTGGGCTGGAAGTAGACTGCAATGACTGTCCCATAGAAGAGGCTCACTACAGCCAGGTGGGAGCCACAGGTGGACACAGCCCAGAGCCTCCCAGAGGCCGAGGGCAGCTGCAGCACAGCAGCTGCAATGGCCCCATAGGAGGCAAGGATGAGCAGGAAGGGAGTGACCACCACGGCGGCGTCCTCGGTGAAGATGAGCAGCTGGATGTGGCGGGTGTCGGAGCACGAGAGCCTTAAGAGAGGCTGGTGGTCACAGAAGAAGTGGGGCACTTGGTGGGAAGCACAGAAGGACAAGCGAACCATGAGCAGGATATGCAGGAGGGAGTGGACGTGGGACACTAGCCATGCCATCCCCACCAGAGCTGTGCACACGGCCCGGGACATCCTCATGGCATAGTGGAGGGGGTGCTGGATGGCCACGTAGCGGTCATAGGTCATGGCGGCCAGGAGACAGCTATCAGTTACCCCCAGGGCAAAGAAGAAGTACATTTGGGTCAGGCAGCTGGCCAGCGAGATGGAGCGGTCATGGGCCAACAAGTTGGCCAACATCTTGGGCACAGTGACGGAGGTGAAGCAGAGGTCAGCGAAGGACAGGTGGGCCAGCAGGAAGTACATGGGTGCATGAAGGGCTGGACTGACCCGGATGGCAGCCGCAATGAGTCCATTACCCAGGAGGCCGACCACATACAAGAACAAGAACAGCACAAAGAGAGGCCGCTGCTGTCCAGGACTTGTTGTCAGTCCCAATAAAATGAATGGGGTTCCCTCTGAAGACTCATTGGCAGCTTCCATGGCAGGCTGATTATTTGCCTGGAACCTCAAGGGCTCCTTTCTATTGATGGGTCACCCCCTTGATGTCTAAGGGAAAAGGTGAGGGGATAAATTGTGCAAGGCTTCCTGGCCATGGGAAAAAATCAAGAGTGTAGAGTCAGGTAGCCCTGGTCCTTACGCACAGGTGTGACTGTGGGCAAGTCATTTCACCTCCCTGAAACTTCTTTCTTTCTGGGCCTTAGACTTTCAATCTGCGAAATAAGAGAATTGAAGTAGCTCATCTTCAAGGTCACGTCCAACTTTGATAGTTTGTGATTTAAGCAAAAATAGAACAAAAGATATTGCACAAGATTTAGATCAGGGAAGGAGGAAAATATGAAAGAAAAGATGAAACCGAGAGAGGTTTGACACAGAAAGATCTGACCAATGGACATTTATTTTGGAAAAGAAAGAATGAAACCAAACCAAGATGGAGGAGAGAAACATAAGAAAGAAACTCTAGAAAAAAAAAATCTGAAGAGCACATATGTTTACATTGAAATGAATATAAACCCACAACACCTAGACACAAATAGTGGAATTTTAGAACACTGGTAATGAAGAGGAGAATCCAGTACTTCCTAAGGCATGGGGTACAATGAACTGATGATATCCATATAATTAGATTGCCATCGAGTGTTTCAAGTCAACAATAGATTATAGAACACAGTTTAATAATCTTCAAATTCTGAAAAAAATATTTCGAACTTGGAATTCTCCACTAAGCAAAAATACTACTCAAGTGTGAGTAAAGAATACAGATATTTTCAGACTTAAAACACAAAACAAGGCTGGGCGCGGTGGCTCACACCTGTAATCCCAGCACTTTGGGAGGCTAAGGCAGGCAGATCACCTGAGGTCAGGAGTTTGAGACCAGCCTGGCCAATGTGGTGAAACCCCATCTTTACTAAAACAATAACAACAACAACAACAACAAAACACACAAAAATTATCCAGGTGTAATGTCACGCACTTGTAATCCCAGCTACTCGGGAGGCTGAGGCAGGAGAATATCTTGAACCGAGGAGGTGGAGGTTGCAGTGAACTGAGATTGTGCCACTGCACTCCAGCCTGGGTGACAGAGTGAGACTCCACCACACACACACACACACACACACACAGAAAACCAAAAAGAAAAAAAAACAAGAGAATTTGAATGACTCCTCATATCCCTGAAAACTTTCCCCATGAAATCAAACACTTACTAAGCAAGCACCAGGCAGATGCACATCACAGTGTGAGAAACTCATGTGGACAGATGGACACATCTGCCCAGGCATAGCAACTTGACTGTTAAGGACAGAGGCAACTTGTTTTCAATGTCTCAGTTTTTTTCCTGTCTGAACTTCATTGCAGAAATCTTGGGCAATTCTCTAAGAAGGGAATTGAAGTAACTGAGAGGAATTTTAGGGCACAGTTTTGTGGAAGACTATGTTGAAACCACCTTTACAGGGAAATGATCTTTTAGTTTATTTCCACATCTTTCTCTATTAAAAAAACGTCAAATGAAGGACCTTCCTACCCTATTGTATTCCTTTTTTTTTTTTTCTCCATTGGTTAAGAAGAATCTCTGGTGTTGGCTTCCTCTAAAGCATCTTTTCTTAAGCCCCTAATTCTTTCTCACTTTCCGAGAGAGTAAGAGGATCAGGATGATTGGGCAGGATGGAAGGGGAAGTCTATTTATAGAATTGCTTTTGGGAAATGGACCTGCTGTGACCTGTGTCTAAATTGGTCCCAATAAACGTTCAAATATACAAAGGTATTTGTAGAAACATTCAAATGTAGTTGCAAACACACATGCAGGCACGCAGACATGTGCATCCTCAGGCTGGTCTCTGCAAATACATAGGCACAATCAGTCATATACAGAAATGTGGAGCCAGCACATGCATTCACAGCAAAGTAGGCAAACAACCATTACCTCAGGATTCAAAGGCCAAGATCATTGTATACCTGCACACAAGGCCAAATGCAATCACAAAATGGCACGAAGGCCAGAGGGTGACAATCATTCACATACTCCTGTTGATGGAGACATAGCGCTATGCACAGCTGCTGTGACCCATCAAGCACATTCATGTTCTCACTGACTGCCTACTGTGTGTGAGCACTCTACCCCGTGCCCATCCATGCATGACCAGTCACACCGAATCCCCTCATTGATCATACAATCACATCTTTGCACATAGCCTCACAGCTTCACATATACGGCTGCACTCACGTAGGCTCATGGTGGATCACGGCAGAGATGTGCCACGCTAAAGGGGCATATGCACATACACACTGCCTCCTACCCCCTACGATGAAACCATTGTGCAGTGATGGTAATGTACAATCACAGCCTTGCAAACAACACATACTCTCATACTCACACATATGATTTGTGCAGACAGTCACACACAAGAAGACAGATCTGCACACTCTGCAGCCTGGACCCTTGTCCCCGAGTGTACCCTCTGGGTTCTGCACATCACAGGAGGGAACAGCTGTGGGGCCCAGGAGTGGCTTGACACTGGAGGGTCTGAGGAAGGAATGATTGGCCATGCTTATGGGGTTTAGAGCCCTGGGAGCACCTTAGCTTTTCCCCAGAGGCAACAACCTCTTCTCGTGGCCTTCATCCCTGGGGAACAAGGCAGCCTGACTGTGGGGCTTGTTATCCTTCCTTTCTAGGGATCAGTTTGATGGAGGAGGAGGTGATTGGTGCCACCTCTAACTCAGGGGACGTTCAGGAGCCCTACTGCAAAGCTGCTGCTCCTCAGCCCCTGTCTTGTGAAGATGAGAGAGAAGGGTCAAGTTGACCTCTCAGCCCCAAGTAGAGTGACCTGGGGATCCCAGGTTTACAGCTGTAGCTTCTGGAGCCAACCCTCCTCTCACCTCACCTGTCACTGTCACCTCTTGGTGGCTTCTTGTAGGATGTGTGGAGTGTGGGAGGAATTGTGCCCCTGGTGACTGTGGCAATCACAACCACTATCAACGATCTCAATTTGTAGAGCTGTGTTTGTGAGAGCGATTGTGTCTCTGTGCAACTCAATTTGTCCATGAGCTCGGATGTGTGTCCCAGTGTGCAGCTGCGTCTGTGTCTGTGTGGGTGCCAGACCTATGAGAGTGTTTCTTTAACAAAGAATATTTCTTTTTTTAAACAATTTTACTTTAAGTTCTGGGATACATGTACAGAACGTGCAGGTTTGTTATGTAGGTATATATGTGCCATGGTGGTTTGCTGCACCTATCAACCTGTCATCTACATTAGGTATTTCTCCTAATGTTATCCTTCCCCTACCCCGCCACTCCCAACAGGCCCCAGTGTGTGATGTTCCCCTCCCTGTATCCATGTGTTCTCATTGTTCAACTCCCACTTATGAGTGAGAACATGTGGTGTTTAGTTTTCTGTTCCTGTGTTAGTTTGCTGAGAATGATGGCTTCCAACTTCATCCATGTCCCTGCATGGGACATGAACTCATTCTTTTTTTATGGCTGCATAGTATTCCATGGTGTATATGTGCCACATTTTCTTTATCCAGTCTATCATTGATGGGCATTTGGGTTGGTTCCAAGTCTTTGCTATTGTAAATAGTGCTGCAATAAACATACTTGTGCATGTGTCTGTATAGTAGAATGATTTATAATCCTTTGGGTATATACCTAGTAATGGGATTGCTGGGTCAAATGTATTTCTGGTTAGATCCTTGAGGAATTGCCACACTGACTTCCACAATGGTTGAATTAATTTACATTCCCTCCAAAAGTGTAAAAGTGTTCCTATTTCTCCACATCCTCGCCAGCATCTGTTGTTCCCTTTTTTTTTTTTTGAAATGGAGTCTTGCTCTGTCACCCAGGCTGAAATGCAGTGGCACGATCTTGGCTCACTGCAATCTCCACCTCCTGGGCTCAAGCAATTCTCTGCCTCAGCTCCCAAGTAGCTGGGATTACAGGGCCCCACCACCATGTCTGGCTAATTTTTGTATTTTTAGTAGAGATGGGGTTTCATCATCTTGGCCAGGCTGGTCTTGAACTCCTGGCCACGTGATCCACCCACCTTGGCCTCCCAAAGTGCAGGGATTACAGGTGTAAGCCACCACGCCCAGGTGTTTCCTGACTTTTTAATGATTGCCATTCTAACTGGTGTGAGATGGTATCTCATTGTGGTTTTGATTTGCATTTCTGTAATGACCAGTGATAATGAGCATTTTTTCATATGTTTGTTGGGTGCATAAATTTCTTCTTTTGAGAAGTGTCTGTTAATATGCATTGCCCACTTTTTGATGGGGTTGTTTGTTTTTTTCTTGTAAATTTGTTTAAGTTCCTTGTAGATTCTGGATATTAGCCCTTTGTCAAATGGGTAGATTGCAAAAATTTTCTCCCATTCTGTAGGCTGCCTGTTCACTCTGATGATAGTTTCTTTTACTGTGCAGAAGCTCTTTAGTTTGATTAGGTCCCATTTGTCAATTTTGGCTTTTGTTGTTGTTGCTTTTGGTGTTTTAGTCATGAAGCCTTTGCCCATGCCTATGTCCTGAATGGTGTTGCCTAGGTTTTCTTCTAGGGTTTTTATGGTTTTGGGTTTTACATTTAAGTCTTTAATCCACCTTCAGTTAATTTTTGTATAAGGAGTAAGGAAGGGGTCCAGTTTCAGTTTTCTGCCTATGGCTAACCAGTTCTCCCAGCACCATTTATTTAATAGGGAATCCTTTCCCCATTGCTTGTTTTTGTCAGGTTTGTTGAAGATCGGATGGTTGTAAATGTGTGGTGTTATTTCTGAAGTCTCTGTTCTGTTCCATTGGTCTATATATCTGTTTTGGTACTAATACCATGCTGTTTTGGTTACTTTAGCCTTTTAGCATAGTTTGAAGTCAGGTAGCGTGATGTCTCCAGCTTTGTTTTTTTGCCTAGGATTGTCTTGACTGTATGGGCTCTTTTTTGCTTCCATATAAAATTTATAGTAGTTTTTTCTAATTCTGTGAAGAAAGTCACTGGTAGCTTGATAGGAATAGCATTGAATCTATAAATTACTTTGGGCAGTATGGCCATTTTTACAATATTGATTCTTTCTATCCATGAGCATGGAATGTTTTTCCATTTGTTTGTGTTCTCTCTTATTTCTGGTGAGGAATATTTCTAATAGGACTTTAGGTCTTTATTGAAGGGGTATGTGTTTCTGGGTGTGTACTGCAGTATGAGGGAAGTGAACCTGTATGTACCATTCCAGGTGGCATAGCTTTACATAACACTGTTGGAATAACCAGAGAGAATGATTCTGAATATATAAATTTCCAACGATTTACTGTTGCCTCTTGGATAAAGTCTAAATTTTCTACCTAATATTGAAGCCATGGAGTGCTCTTCTCATTCCCTAATTTTCAATCTTCAAACTTCCCTCTACTTTCCCAGCATACCCCCTCAAGTCAGTTAAATTGGTCTCCTTAGAGTCTTCCGCTCATGCTGAGCTTATTTCACTTCCACGCCTTTGTATATACTTGCCCCTCATGCCCCTGGTGCAATTGCCTCTTGCCCTCAATTTCTACCCATGTTGCAGGGCCCAACTTATTTTGTGCAATGAGTGCCCCAGTCTTCCCCATCTTCCTGTCCTCACTGCCTGCTTTAGTAAGTGGTGTTGAAGGGAAATGCTTTATCAGAATTGGGCACATTCTTATGGGCATCTCACTTTAGGAGGGGTGATTTATCTCTCTTCCTTCATTCTCCAGGTTGGGCTCTGTTACTGTCTTCCGATCCTTTCCCCTTCCCTCTTGTTTGTTTTCTTATCTATCAAGTAGGCCCAGTATAATAGCCTGAAACTTGATATTTCTTTTAGCTGGTTTCTAGGATTTATGTAA